TACAAGCAAACACCCAATAGATCTTTAAAAGTTAGCAGTTATTCAAGGAAAAAGGAGAGCCTGTGCTCTATCCTACACTTAAGGAGTAACACTCCTTATTAATTTAATCTGAGAGTCGACACAATGGTTTATGTGTCTCAAGTTAACAAGATCTATCACCAAAGTCTGGTTTAATTCACTCGATTCAAACGCTCATCTCTGTCACTGATGACGCTGAAGTCGATTTAATGCAGAGCATGCAATTTATTCCGCCAGCCAGTAGGGGAGCTGTGGCTCCGCCTCGGGCGCGGCCTATTTCTCAATGTAGAAGAAGAAGTTGCAGCAACGGCAGTAAATCAGAACACTGACGGACACCAGTCCCGCTCAAAATGGGGGAAGGACTCGCTCCTTTGTTTCAATGACTCCGCTTGCTTTCAAGCTTCGATTTAGCGTTAACTTAGCTCGGTAGGTACAACGCTACAGGCTAAACTCGGCGTCTTCACGCCTGTGACTCCACTGCCGGGCAGCTGTATTTGTTGAAGTAGCTAATTTCAACAGAATACCGGAGTTTTGCATATAACATAACAATCCACGGCTCAGCGCGTCAGACTGTTATTTATAGCCGCAAACAAATCACATTGGCACAGCGCAACTGTAATCGGTCTGCCTCTTATTAGGCCTTAAAATGATCAATATCGGTTAAGTTTCTCTCAACCAAAAGGGCATTTAATCCACTCGTCAGCGGAGATTGTGTGTAGCTTTAGCTCAGATTTCTCAAATGGTAACGTTACAGGAATGCATTCAGTTTAACATTAGCTCGGTCCTCATAGCTCAGCTCACTACAGCTCTGTACTGAACAACAAAGAATGATGGCGCGGCGGCCAAACAAGTTGCACAAAGCATTTCATTTCACAACAAAGAACATGGTCAAAACTCACACACACTTTCATCACTAACGTTAAGTTAAGAGGGAAGACAGGAGAGTTTCTAGGGAGCACTTTACTGGGCGATAATTATTTCAGTGGCAAAATTTTGGAGGGAAAAATTTTCCTCAATAACTTTTCTCAATAACTTCTCTGCATCAGGACTGTGTGTATAGTCTATTATAGTATGTCACAAGGCCTCACATGGCAGGCACCATTATGTAGTGGACCTAAATTTATTAGTTTATTAGTTACCCAATTATGAATTATTATTCATAAAATCATTTTTTTCTCGTTAAGGGCACCACCGGAGTTGTTATAATCCTAGAGTCTCCGGACCTCTAGGTAGTTTGAATAATTATACAATTATTACTAGTGATCAGTTAGTTAATAATCGCTCAATTATCTTAAATCAGTCAGTCAGTCTCATATCTAAAGGGTCAATTCTCTTGGCAGGAACTATAAATAGGCAACACACACAGCTCTTGATTATATTACAGTGAATTTATTCTCTAACTAAGGTGATAAAAAGATGGTTGGATACAGGGAACAAACATTTGCTGAACAATGAGCCTGGAGGTTCGATTGTGGGAAGCATTCGACTCATACGGCATAGAAGAGCTAATGAAAGTAAACTAATGCTATAGTTTAGGAGTTAAAATGGACATCTGATCACAGAACGTGTGTTAAGTCTTACTGCTTGTCGACAGTCTGCTTTTGGCCTGTTGCACGGGTCCCACGCTAGCTGCCGATCCTGGCTTTTTGCTAGGGATTGTCCGGGGTTCTCCGTGTCTGATTGAAAACGCCTCCTCCGTCTGGCAATTCGGCTGTTTGCTGGTTTCCTTGGTTGCAGCTGGCGAGACCACGTGGCTTGGTCTGACCTCGGTGAAGTTGGCTCGACGAAAAGGCTTAAAATGGAACTTGGTCGTTCCTGAATTAGTCCAGTGTAACTTAACGGACTCATAACTTTAACAAACCAAAGAAATAAAGAAAATAAAACAAACTGAAGGCAGATCGATGTCTCGGCACTTCAGGTGTGTAGCTTCAGGCGAACAAAGGCCTGTTTGTTTCGCTGGTCGACTCTGGGCGTGTTGCCTGGCGAGGCACGCTACGCGCGTGCCGAAGCATCCAGAGGGCAGAAGGGAAGAGCGAGAGAGGGAAGAGAGTAAGAGTCTGGCGAGCAGGTCGCGTGTCGCTCTTTTGTTGCCTGGGGCGTGGTTCCCCAGGGGGCGTCTCAGGTTTCCCCAGGGACTGCCTTTCTAAACTTAATGTCTAAAGAAAAGAAATCTATTTGCACGTATTATAATCAAATATTTTCCACAATCGAACCTCAATGGTTGAACGGTTGTACTGTTCTAGGCATTTGGTAACAGGAAACAATTGTCACATTATTGGTCAGTATTTTTACACATTTAACCGCATTTCCGACGAGGGCATGTAATACTTATTTCGTCCACTTGGGGGAGCTCAGGTTACATGATGAAAGCTTGGATTAAATCAAAGATCGTCTCTCCTTAGGAACCGGGGAATATTGTTGATTCATCCTTAAATTCAAGCTGGCGATTAAGAGTATAGTAAAACATTTCTTTGTCATCATTTAAAAAGGGATTTTGTAAGAAAGTATTATGAACAAGCATTGATTACATCAGATGAAGGAGTGTCTTGCTGAAAATAAAAACACTGCACAAGTAACTTCTTTTCAGCACTAATATCAACAACAGATAGCAACAACAGTTAACATAACTACTCAAATAGAGGCAAACATATTCAGGTAACTAAAGATTTAATTAAATTTAATTAGATGCTTTGAGTCTTTTGGAGAATGCAGTCCTTGGTCATCCAAAGTTCAGTGTCTGGAACATGTCACACTTAGGTGAGACAAGGAGTATCCTTTTGATGTGGTAATAAACAAAGAATAAGGTCAGTTTCCACGGAAACGTGTGTGGTGGGGTAAGTTTTGATAGGCTGTTCAGGGAGATGCCAATGGCTGGTTCGTGTCCCTTTGTCAGTTTAACAGTCAGGCCCCGCGTTATCAGCTTCGGAATCAAAATGGTGCCAGTTTTATGGTCGGGCTAGCACTTAGAGAAAGCAACTTTGACCCCTCCCCATCTTCTCTGGGGAGGAGAAAGGAATTTAGGGTAGCTCCACATTTATTCCATGAAAAATGCACAAATCCACACTGTTGTTCACTACATCTGTGAGATCAGGTTGGTCCTGTCACAGACTGATATACAGAAAAACTACCATATAGGGCGTCCAAGCCACACAAAATTACGACTCATGTTTACATTTACTGTGGCAGCGACCTCCAGTGGCTGTACAACACAAACACATGACAGTGACATCACATATTATAAATAGCCAGAAAGCTGTATTTTGGAGGTGGTGGATAGGGTGGATGGATAGTAAGTTGGCAGTATTTCACCCAGGAGACAAGCGTTCAGTTCCCATGTGAAACAGGAGTGATTTTTTAAACAAAGTTACATAGTAGCATTAGCTACGTTTGCTTTGTTAGCTAGCTAACGTTAAAAGGCGTTGACAGCCCCCCGTAGTACCTTACCCTCACCTAAACCTTTACAGGGGTGTGTGCCTTGTGATTTTATGCAAGTCGATCGGTGAACCCAACAGCTGTGCAGATCTGCTAACAGTAGGGTTCAACTTTTTTGTTTCGCTGAAGTCTCCATATGTTTATGTTTATTTCCAAAACGTAGGTCCGGTTGGGAAACAGAGTTCGAAATTGCCGTTTTGGGAGGCATGGACAAACGCCACCGACAGAGACGCTATTGTAGGCTACGTATATCACTGTGGCTCTCGTGCAGAATAACATACTATAGAGTCTTCTTGTTGCAGACTCTTCACCTCTAAGTACACAAGATTGTTTGATGTATCTTTAGTGATGGAAAACTGGCCTCGGAGACTTTGGGCAAATATTGTGCCAGTTTCACTATCAATGTGTCCGATCCATCCCAGCACTTTCCCTGGTTTCTGACGAATCCAGTGCAGCCAAGCCAGACCAAGACCTTAAACTTTGCAGGACAGAGTGACCGGTTCTCCAGCTCTGCTGACCACTGGCTCTGAGGAGGTGAAGAACTGGTCCTGAGCAGCTGAAAAGACACAGAGTTTAGATGACCGGTAGCCAGCAGACATCCAAGGCTCCTTTTCTCCTCTGCTGGACACCAACTTCACTCACCTGAAATGAGAGCCAAGAGGAGGACACTTGGTGCAATTCTCATGGTGGGAACTTGACTGAGCCTGCAACTGCAAAAGCTGTTATGAAGGAATCCATATTAACAGCTTTTCCTTCAGAAGGATATGTACGCTTACCGGCCACTTTATTAGGTACACCTGTTCAATTGCTTGTTAACACAAATAGCTAATCAGTCAATCACATGGCAGCAAGTCAATGCATTTAGGCAGGTAGACGTGGTCAAGACAACTTGCTGACTTCAAACTGAGCATCAGAATGGGGAAGAAAGGGGATTTAAGGGACTTGCGGGCTAGTCTAAGTATTTAAGAAACTGCTGATCTGCTGGGATTTTTATTCACAACCATTTCTAAGGTTTACAGAAAAAGAGAAAATATCAAATGAACGGCAGTTGTGTGAACGAAAATGTCTCGTTGATGTCAGAGGTGAGAGGAGAATGGGCAGACTGGTTTGAGATGACAGAAAGGCAACAGTAACTCAAATACCCACTCGTTACAACCAAGGTATGTAGAATACCATCTCTGAACACGTCAAACCTTGAAGCAGATGGGCTACAGCAGCAGAAGACCACACCGGGTGTCACTTCTGTCAGCTAAGAACAGCAAATTGGTTGAGGCTTTTAGATTTTAGGCATTTTTTCTGGAAATAGGTGGCAGTTATCAAGTTAAACAGTGTTGTAAAACTGCAAGTCACATGGAAGCCTTTTATTTTTACATGTTATTATAATGTAAATCTTCTGATCACATGCATGATCTTCATGCACATTATTCAGTCAATCACTACTCAGAATCTTCATCCCTGACAGATAATTACAATCAGTACTGCAAAAAAAGTGATTCTGAGACAACTGAATATTGCCAGTGGTAGTGGTAAATAGAGGAAGTAGTTTTTGTACAGCTCTCCTGTTGTTGTCTCTCACTGTGGATATCTGGCACAGTAATACACAGCAGTGTCTTCAGGCTGCACATTCTGTCCGTTTAGAGTTACTATTTTGCTGGAAGAGTCTAAGTCGATACTGAACTTGTTCTTTAGTGAATCTTTGTAATATGAAGCTCCAGTACTTTTCATTCCAATCCACTCCAGTCCTTTCCCTGCAGGCTGTCTGATCCAGGCTGTGTAGTAGCTGCTAAGAGAATAAGAGACCTGACAGGTGATGGTCAGACGTTGACCTGGCTGCACAGTCACAGAGGCTGGCTGTGTCAACTGTTCACACTTCACACCTGTTAAAAAAGAAAATGTTTTGTAACAAATGATCAAGTTATACTGCAAAAGAAGACTGATGACTTTGTCAAATCCAGAGAGACTCACATCCAGCTGCCAACAGCAGCAGCAGAGCTACAGAAAACATGGTTTATGTTGAAAGTGACGTGCTGTGAACTCCACTGACAGCCTGATGGGAAGTTTTTATAGCTGAGTAACAAGGAAGGTCACTGAGTTTGCATAGAATCAAACACATGAAGCATCAATGTTGGTCTAACTGGGGCCAATAGAAGAGTCTGTTGACTGTTGACAGGTCAGAAGATTTGCAAAAAAGATTTTCCAGAGGAAAACAGCTGCTCAGGAACTGAAACGTGTGTGACTAAATGCAAAAAACATTTTTTTATATATTAGGAAAAAAATAAAGTAGTTCACGCATTTATATGTTACTTTCTGTGATTTTAACTACATTTTACATTTATCTGTGTCTGATTATGTCAGAAATAAAAAAAAAACTGTCTTAATGAAATATCATGCTATGTGGTTAATTGTTGTTGGGGTTTTTTTGGTTTGTTGTATAAAAAAAAAACTTATATGCTGTCATACTTTTCTGTTGAAAATGTCCTGAATCAAGTTAATACATGACTTTTGTTTAGGGTAGAAAAGTATCAAGTATCACAGTATACATGTTAAGCTTTAGTTCAGTCCAGAGTTCAAGTGTCAGTTAAGATAAATGAGAACAGCAGATCTGAGTGTCTCCTTTTAGAAAGTTGACACTGACTGCCCTTTAGTGATTTTGTGAAAGAATCTGCAACATTTTTTGTCACTCTCACATTATGACTCACTTTAGATTCCAGTAGATTCATTTCAGTAACCATAGTATTGTGCTGTCTTTGGCCTTTTATGAACAAGTGGTGGTGGTGGTAAAGTGGAAGACACATGCCTGGGTTCAATTCCCCACTGACACATCCACCAATGTGTACCTGATCAACACACTTAACCCCTAGTTGCTCCAGAGACCTGCGACCTCTGATATATATAGCAATTGTAGGTCGCTTTGGATAAACACGTCAGCTAAATGAATAATCACCACTTGGAACCTTCCACCCCCTATCTTAAAGTGGTACTTTCCTTCCCCCTCTTAGTGGTGTTTCCACCAAAAGTACAGGGGACTTTTAAGTCCCCAGATCTCTTTTTCATGGAACTAAAAGGTTCCTTCAATCATTTGTTGTGTGAATTTCCACTGTGGTCTAAAGACCTGCAAAGATTAGGCAACACCAGCTGACAGGCTGTAGGCCTGTACACCATACAAAGTGATGCACACACATTATTATTTAGTAACCACTATCCATGAGGATTTGATTGGAATATAATGAAAAACTATAGGCTTTGCTTGAGTGGGAGTATAATGAAGAGACACATGATGAGGTTTGTTACAAATTTAACAAACTGGATAAAACCATCAAGTTCTTAAAATATCTTCAGCACAGAGAAAGCAACACAAAAATAAAATTGCGGCAGTTTGAAAGGTTATTAAAACATTTCCAGTCGACAAGAGCTGCAGATCAGCTCCAGCTCTTACATGTTCTTTTTTAACGTGCTTTATTACCTGCTGTAATGTCTTTGTAGAAAACAAGACCAGCCCCAGCTCTGACTGATGAAAACTTAAAACAACAACTCCGGCCCCATTATTTAGCGTAGCTCCATCAGCTGTTCGCTGTAAACACACCGCTGCAGGCTGGCTGCTATTTCCAAGCAATAAATTTAATGCCAACGTTCAATATCATGGGGACATCAGCGCTGCTATCTGACTGCTAATTGTGATTTATTGGTTTGCAAACAACGGTGGAAAACAGAGGAGCAGTTGTAGAAAAACAGCTGACATGCTCGATTTAAAGCCAGAGCCCATTCAGAAAATCTCTTCAAGGCACGTGTATAATGTCCCCTTTTTTGCTAAATATTGCTCTCATTCACTTTAGCTACTGTTGGTCATGCCAATTAGGCCCAATTCAGAGCAAAACCACACACACACACCACTATCTTGCAATAAAGAGTTCTTAACCGGAAATTCTGGACTATTTTGTGACTTGACCCAGCTCTTCAGTAGTAGGTGGTGATTTCCTGAAACTACTTGGAAGAAGCCACAGTCAGCTCATCTCTTTATTTCAGTCTTCTTTTGTTTTTTCTAATTGTTTAATGTTCAGTAATAATATTCCTCAGGAACAGTTTACATGACCTTGTATTATATGAAAAATTATAAGTAATGTAACATATGGTATGATAATATACGTGCTATAAAAAAATGCATTGCAATGTTCTACCAGCTCAAAGATGTGTCCTGTAGGTTTTTGTACAGCTGCTCAACCAACTCTAGTCACCGTGGCTCTCGAGCACAATAATAAAAAGCAGAATCTTCAGTCTTCAGACTGTTCATCTGCAGATACACCTGCTGTCTGCTGTTGTCTCTGGAGATGGTAAACCGGCCTTGAACTGACTGAGAGTAGTATTTGCTGCTACCACTACCACTATCAATCCAGGCAATCCACTCCAGTCCTTTTCCAGGAGCCTGTCTGATCCAGCTCATAGCATAGTCACTGAATGTGAATCCAGAGCCTCTACAGGTCAATGTGTGGGATTCTCCAGGCCTTTTAACAGCTGGTTCTGATTCTGATGGTCAGAGTCTGACCATCAACACCTGTCAAGACAAACAAGAAAATAATCACTTGCTTTAAGCTAACAGACTTAAGAAGGCAGATTTAACTCAAGATCAGAGAAAATCTTCACCTGCCCAACAGACAGTTAAAAGCAGCAGTCCTGTCCTATAGTCCATCATGTTAAACTGTGTGTCCACTGTTCTCTGTCATCCTCTCTGCAGTCAGATAAGTAGAGGTGGAAGACATCTGAGTTTTGCATTGACTCCTCCTCATAGGGAGGAACTGGATTTGACTTCTCAGTTACTGTTTGGTGAAACTGGAAAAAATGTTTACTGTAAATAAGTCATTCCTCCAAGAGTCGCTCTTTCATGTTTGACAAACAAATTGTTAAAGTTGGTTGCTTCATTGTTAGGGACAGTCTGTGGCCCCATCCACACTACTGCGTTTTTGAATTAAAACAAAGACCTTTTGCTACGTTTGCACCTCCCATCCTAAAACGGGGAAAACGAAGACCTAAAAATGCAGAAGTTTGGAAACACTGCCGACCCCGCTTTGCATTTTGTTGAAACTCTGGAGGGCGTTTTAGTGAAGAAGGGCAAAAACGAAGGACTTTAGAAACGATGACACAGAAGCTCATGCTTGGCTCTGTGATTGGGTCCTATAAGTCATGCAAAGCAGAAACACGATGCTACTGACAGAGTTTTTGAGTTAGTATTTTTATTAAAATATTTGGTGCGTGCAAATTCCACTTGGGCCTATATGCCTACATTTGTAGGCTGCTGTGCATGTCGCTGTTTATTTTGCAACAACTTGCAATCCTGTGTTACATTCAGTAACAGTCCCAGCAAAATCTGGTCTGATTCTTCGTCTGCTTTTCATTATTCTTTCGCCAAATCTTCTGTAACTACCGAACAGACCATCTGCTTCATGTTTACACCGGCACACTAGTGTACCTGAACGGCCACTAGTGTACCTGAACGGCCACTAGTGCGTTTTCAGTTGTTTTAATGTACACAGAGATCAACTCTGATACACAGTTAAAACGTTGGTGTGGACGGAGATCATCTTGGTTTTAATTCTCCGTTTATAAACTAAAACAGAGTAGTGTGGATGGGGCCTGTATCATCTGAAGATTGTGACAACAGTTTCTGTTTTACAATACCCCCAAATTAGTATTTTAAATTACATTTTAATAGTGAGAAAACAAACAAATAAAACCTTTAAAAATATTTCTATATGTCATACTGTTGATTTTTTCACAAAGTGTTCATAAGTCAAGAACATCATGTGAAAGAATACCCCAGTTAGAATTAAGATTTATAAATTCAGGAAAAAACATGAAGCCCCTCAGCATATAAATGCCACGAATATCAGTGGTTTTCAGTCAATACAAAAAAATCCACTATGTTTCATTTCTTGTTTATAAATTGCAGCTGTGAGTTGAGATAATGCTCTCATTAATTCACATAAATGTTGTGAGTCAGACAGAGAAGAGACTTTTCAGGAAAGCCTGCACTGAGTATTTAATATTATTATTATTGTACATCATAATGAACAATGTTGTATTCCTTTAACCTTTTCATTGCTGAAAATGTCTATTTCTCTCTGTAACAGTGAACTGGTTTTGAAATGATGGTGGTCTGAGAGCTCCTACTCTGGTGGCTTCATGTTTATATAGAGTCCTGGCCTCATACCCTGCGCACTTCCCAAAGGTTAATGGCAAGAAACGTCCTAAACACAGAAATTGCAGGCTGAGGGTTAGGATTTCTGCAGATACAGACACTTCTAGTCTGTCATAAATGATAATATAGAGGGATAATTTTTTCACGAGTTCTCATTTGATAATAACAAAGTTCATAAAAATTAGCATCTTAAGAACTGCTTCACTATCAGGTCCAAAATGGCACACCACAATCTTTAAAGCTGCAGTGAATCTTCTTATTATTGATATTTTAATTTCACTACACATTATTTCATTATTGCTATTGTTAATGTAAATATTAACATGAATCATGGGTAATAGAAAACATATTCATTATAAAAACTTACATATAGTACCGTTAAACTTTAGTTCAGTCATCAACCAAGTCCAGTTGCCCTTGACTTTAACCTTCTTTGGATAACTATGACCTGGATGAATGAGGATCTTCACAGACATCTTGCTAATCATTTTGGGATGAACGCCTTCAGATTGCGACAGGAGTATGAAAGGACAGCCACGAAAATCGCAGACTACAGAAACCATCTACGATTTAACCTGAGATGCTGTCAACACAAACTTATTCCCAATGGCCTACACTTAGGTTCCAATGTGAAAGCACACAAATATAATAATCCTGGAGAAAGCGCAACACCAACTACTGAATTACAGAGTGAGACAGACACATTTCACCATTGAAGTCCTGAACAAAGAATTGGACAACGTATACCACAAAAAAGAAACATATCTGCCCAGTACAGCACTGGAAAAGGTCATGGATTTCATCAAGAAAGCAGAGAAATCTCAAC